TGGACGAAAAGTTGTCAAATTGGACTCCAAAACCATTAAGATGTATGACAAGGATTAATTGGAGACAAAGAAGATGTTTCTTAGAGGCAATCAACCGGTCAAAGCTTAAAGGAGAAAGTTTGGTCAAATCCTTGTGGAATTTGGAGAAGCAATCAAAGAGATATTGAGAAAGATATTGGAAAACCTATTTTTGGTAGTATTTGATTGTAACTAGGTTAAGGATCTGTGTATTATAAATAGCATAGGGCTGGCCTCATTGAGGGGATCCATACTTTTCACTACCCGAAAATACCCAATTCTTGAAAAGAGAAGTGCTGCTACTGCTGGCCACCTTGGAGCTTTTTGGGAGTTTTCGAGTTCATCTTCATGTCTACCATCAACCATTCTGCGATTCTCAATAAGTTTATCATGTTCTAATTTCCTTTTTGCTAGGGCTACGATGTAGCCTAGCCATGAATATCTTATTTCTGTATTTATGTTAATTTGATATTATTTTCCATGTTAAGTATCTTTTACCATTCTTAATGCTTTGAGTGCTTGATCACCACTTAATTGATTTGATGCTTGAGTTGACGATAGGAATATCCAACTTAGGATTTTGCTTCTAGTAATTGATATCACAGGTTACTTGAGTGAACTGGAAGGTTAATCGAGGCTCGTGTGGTTTCCATAAATTTCCATAGAACTTAATGAGTTTCTACTTCTTAGTTCTTCATCTAGGCATAGAGTGGGACGGTTGTAGTAATACTTTTGGTATAGACAGGTATGTCATATTGAATAATTAAGAAAAATTTACCATTAACATGAATAATAATTAGGATTAACTGGCTACAGGAATATGGTAGAATTGGCTATGGTGAAATCGGAACCCTAGTGCTCATACCATCAGTGTTTGCTGAATTTTATTATTGTTTATGTTAGTTCATTCTTGTTAATCAAAGCCTCATCATTCGAACATCCAAATAAAGTTTAGGATTAATCATAATCAATACTTAGTTAATTAGTCTTAGTCTCTGCGGAACGATACTCACTTACCACTACACTATTTTGCTACGATTTTGTGCTCTACAATTTCGTTAACAAAGAACATCAAATATGATCACTAAAAATGTACAGTAATGTTCTTCTAGCATGACTTGCTATCTGTTTTGTATGGAAGAGGAAATTAGCTATTATGAACCGAGGAAGAATAGAACAAAAAGGTACTACCAAGTAACTTCTATATACTCAACAACCGGAAAGATTATTTGGAACGGGTACCAATTTACAGTCTCTAGTACACTGTTGATATTTGACAATGTCGATCAAATATCTTGCCAAACATCGACAATGTATCATGTATTGTAGATTGGTACCCTATACCAGCCAATCACTCCCCATTCAACCATGGAGCTTAAAAGTTAGATATTGAGGTACAAGTTTTTTGCATACTTATGAACAGGTCCTATTGAAAGAAGCCAGGATTTTCTGGTCAATGGGGTTGTTATCACAAGTAAGAAGGAGAGCTACTCAAGTGAAAGGGGCAATGATGAGCTAGAGTTGCCATTGCTTGATTTTAGCATTGTAGGATAAATTTTCTGATGAAAATCAACTGGGACAGGGTGGTTTTGGTTGTGTTTACAAGGTAAGAAAAATTTGTTTAAAATCAATCACCCGATCATTCATACATCAAACAAATTGCAGAAGCAACTTGGGACAGATTTAGTAATGTGGTTAATCCAATTGCAGGGTATGTTGGTAGAAGGTGAAGTAGTTGCTATCAAGAGACTTTAGAAGAACTTTGGACAGGGAACGGAAGAATTCAAAAACTCAGTGAAGTTAATCGCAAGGCTTCAGCACCGAAATCTTGTCCGACTATTTGGTTGTTGCATTGATATGGATGAAAAGATGCTGATTTATGAGTGCATTGTGGGAACCGAATTAAATCAGACCCTAGGTCAAATAATTCCTTCCATTTGGGGATTATTTGACATAATTTGGGAATTACTCAACCTAATTGGGAGTTACTCAATTTAATTGGGAGTTACTCAATTAAATTGAAAGTTACCTAATTAAATAGAGAATTGATTTTATTCATACCACAATTCCCAATTAAATGAGGAGTTACCTAATCAAATTAGGAATTGATTTGATACCTACCACAATTAGGGATTTGATTTACCCTAATAAATCAAATCCCTAATTAATCAAATCAATTCCAAATACGGGAGGAATAATTCCTTTCCATCTACAGAATTATTCCTCTGAAACCTTAGCCTCCAAGACCACTATAAAAAGATAGCCATACACAAGGGTTGAGATACGTCTGAAATCCCTACTGAAACTCAGCAGAAAATTCATCTCAAACCCTAGCCACCTCCTTTCTCTCTCTCTTTTACATAAGGCTCCGGTCGCCCAGTTTACGCCATAAACACATCTCCGTACCCTATTAGCTATTGTTTTCTATACGATTCAATTGAACTAATTTAGGCATCGGGGGGCCTTTGGCCAACACCCCCCGGGTGTGGTCCTCTTATTGGTTCTATTTTGCAAGGAGAAGGAGGCGGCAAAGAAGAAAGGGGAATCTTTCCAATCGAATATCCTCGTGGGGAAATTTGCTGACACAAATTGGTGCTTTCATTGAGAGCACGAGTTATACTCAACACGTGCTCAAGGAATCCGTTCCTCCTATTTTCCAATCCACAGAAGCCTTCCAAAGAACCATGGTTGGAAGCAAGAAGACGCGAGGCAAAGCCGCCGCGATGGCTAAATCCACGACGGCCCAAAGCCATTCCACCCACGATCCAGCGATTGACATGGTGGCACCACCACCTTTCACCATCGCACCGGCCGCCGCCACCGGACATGGTGGAACCTCCCATCAAGGTGGGCTCGTTACCACCACCGACTTAGGTCTGATCTTGGAGCAACTTCAAGCGTTCCCTCCATTGCCTTCAAGCTCGACGCAGCTCCTGCGTACAACTCCATTAAAACCCTAGCCCGTGTGCAATTAGGCTCCACGCACTTCTCTCCTCCCAATCCACGAACTCAAGTAGACCTCAGTCTGAGAGTTGATCAGTTAGGTCAGAGAATGGACGACCAAAGCAATATGATGAGGCAACTCCTTAACCAAATAAGCTTAGCTCAAAACCTTGGCCTTGGACAACCGGGCGAAGAGAGAAGGATGGACGAACGCACCGGTGGGCAGCTTGACGGGTACCAAGCAGGTCAAGCAGGAGTGAGTAGACAAGGAGAGGGACAACAACATGATCGGCCGGCCGACATGTCGCAAGCATCTGCAAGCCACACTCAGAGAAGATTAAGCTTAAGGAACAACGTGCGCGAATGGCTAGGCTCATGACTTGACGTCCGCGCCCACCTTGGTCTGCAAGGAAATGTACATCAAAGGCTAGGGCCCCAAGGAGGTCAGCCAAACAACCATCGCAGCGAAGATCGTGAAGAAAGGCGCTCAGCTGTTCACTCGTAGAGGAGCATTCACGAAAGGTTAGGCCCCCAGGGTGGTCAGCTGGATAACCCTCACAATGAGGACTATGAGGAAAGACACTCTGCTACTCACTCTCAAAGAGTTGATTCTCGTTGGCAAGCTACAGAAAATCCTTCGTAGGTGCAATCCACCAACACGCCTCCTAGGCAGAGCAAGCGAGAAGGTCGACCGTAGTAGATCAACGAGGAGGTCAATCAGCATCGCCCAAATCGTGAAGGTCGCCAACGTGATCGACCAGCAATGCGTGCGGAAGATGTCGAGAAGCTTGGGAACAATCGACTTCGAGACTTGAAGACCGACGGGAACTTCGAAGATGCACTACTTAAGGAGATGGACTAGGCGAACTTTACACCTTTCACCCTTGAAATCGAGCAGGCTGCTCCCTCGAAGCAATTCTCAACGCCTTCGTTTACACACTTCAAAGGGATTTCGATCCCGAGAGCCACCTAAAACACTTCAAAAGTGTCATAATCCTCCACAAGGCTGACGACGCGCTAATGTGCAAGGTATTTGTAATGACCTTGTGAGGAGCAGCCCAAGACTGGTTCCACACCCTACCATCCGGGTCAATCAGCAGCTTCAAAGAGCTGGCTTACGTCTTCATCAAAGAATACACCTCTTACCGAAAGGTCAAGAAGAACCCTGACCACCTGTACAACCTGTGCAAGAAGTTTGATGAATCCCTTCGAGATTACATCAAGAGATTCAAAGTAGAAAAGGCCAACATTGTAGGATGTGACAACCGAATCGCGTCATCTGCTTTCAAGAAAGGCCTTCTAGCTTAACACAACTTGTACCGGGAGCTGACTATCACTCCCAGCCAGACTCTAATAGAGGTCTACGCGACCACGGAACGCTATGCGCTCTATGATGAAGATCGAATCGGGGCAAAAAAGTCTACTAAGCAGGAAGATCAGCCAACTATCAGGCATGCCAAAGAAGCGACAGGTTTAGCAACAGGAACAAGGACAAACGCAGGTCACACCCACAACGAGACGCTGCAGCTGGAGAGAACTACACCAAGTTCACCATCCCCATACATCAAATCTTAGCCCAAGTGAAGAACAAACCTTGGATAAGAAGACCACCACCCTTGAAAGGAAATCCGGACAAGATGGATGCTAGCAAATATTGTGCCTTCCATGGGACGCATCGGCACACTACGAACAACTGCTCCGCTTGGAAAACGCACCTTGAAGAACTCGTGAGGGGAGCTCACTGCACAGAATTCATTGCGAAGCAGGCCATCTAGCGGATTGAAGATCGTGACACCTCCAGGGAGCCACCCTAGAAGGTTATAAGGATTAACACGATCCTAGCCGACTCCGAGGAGTCTGGGCTGACTAGCAAGGAAAAGAAGAGGAAGATCAAATATGTCATTATGATCTCCCAAATCTCGACCAACCTTCCACCAGCAGAAGACGATCCTGTGATCGGCTTCCAAAAGAAAGATCTGATTGACCTCGACTTGCCGCATAACGATGCCCTTGTCATCAGCATTCAAATCGCCTAGGCCATGGTCGACTGGATCCAGGCAGACAAGGGCAGTGCAGCTAATATCCTACAACTGGCGGTCATCCAGCAGATGGGCTTGGAGACAATGATCAACAAAATAGTCAAATCGCTGACCGGCTTGAATGGTGCAATGACGGTCACCGTGGGCACAATAAACCTCGACATCTACTCCCCACCTGTAATCAGTTCACAAACATTCATAGTCATTAATGAGGTCTCACCCTACAACGGCATCCTGGGCAGACCATGGATTGACAAGATCAACGCCGTCACCTCCGCCACACATCAGAAAATCCAGTACCTAATTCCTGGGGGCGGTATCGGCCAAATCAACAGCGATCAGGCAATGGAGAGGAAATGCTCCGCCCAAGGGCTGAAGAAAAGCAAACAAGCGCAGTTCATCCTTATGAGCCAGGCAGATCCAAATGAGGTTGAACAACCGAATCTTGCTCTCTTATAGCAACCAAAGTGCCATGACCAAGCCAAGGAAAACCGTATAGAGGTCTCTCCTAAAGAAGGATGGAAACCCGAAGAGGACATCTAGCTAATACCCTTGAATCCTGACCAGCCAAACAGGAAAGCGCGGATCTGCTCTCGCTTAAGCTCAGAAGAGAAGGTGGAGCTGACCACTTTCCTCTAGAATAACAAAGACATGTTTGCATGGTCGCCGTCAGACATGCCTGGCATCGACCTAAACATCATCTGTCACCGACTCCATGTCAACCCTGCCTGCAAGCCAGTGGCGCAGAAGAGACGCAACTTCGCACCCGAGCGAGTCGCTATCATCGAAGCCGAGATTGACAAACTTCTAGCTGCCGGCTTCATCGAAGAGGTCTCCTACTCAGAGTGGTTTGCCAATGTTGTTGTGGTGGCAAAACAAGAGAAGGGAAAGTGGAGAGTCTGCGTCGATTACACAGACCTCAACAAAGCATGCCTAAAAGACAACTTCCCATTGCTGAGAATCGACCAACTCGTGGATTCCACTTCTGGCAATCAGCTGCTCAGCTTCATGGACGCTTACTCCGGCTATAACCAAATCTTGATGCACGAGGATGACAAGGCGAAAACTTCTTTCATCATCGAGAGAAGGACCTACAGCTACAAGGTCATGCCTTTTGGGCTGAAGAATGCAGGAGCAACTTATCAAAGGCTTGTGAATAAAATCTTCAAGGAGCAGATCGATAAAACTACGGAGGTATACATGGACGACATGCTGGTCGAGGCCCCAAAATGTGCAAATCACCTCAAAAACCTCGCCGAGGCATTCAACATACTCTGCCAATATCGCATGAAGTTGAATCCAAGTAAATGCACGTTTGGTGTATCCTCCGGCCGATTCTTAGGATACTTAGTCACACTAAGAGGTATAGAGGCACACCCAAGTCAAATCAAAGCCATTCTCGAGATGAAGTCACCTTCCATAGTGAAGGAAATACAAAGTTTGACGGGTAGAGTAGCAGCCCTCAACTGATTCCTCTCGAGATCTACCGACAAATGCAGACCATTCTTCAAAGCTTTGAAGAAAGGACAAAGAGACAAATGGGATGAAGAGTGTGAAGTAGCTTTCCAGAATCTGAAGACTTACCTCACTTCACCTCTCTTGCTCTCAAAGCTCGTTCCTGTTGAAGATTTGTTCGTGTACCTAGCAGTGTCCAACTCAGCCGTAAGCTTAGCTCTCATCTGAGAAGAGCTGGGGGCCTAACATCCGGTATTCTACACGTCAAAAGATCTCCTCGATGCAGAAACTCGCTACCCGAAATTGGAGAAGCTCATTTTGGCCCTTGTAGAAAGCTGCGATCCTATTACCAAGCTCACCGAGTCATCGTCATGACCGACTTTCCTTTGAGATCAATCATCCACAGCCCTAACGCTTCTCAGCGACTCATGAAGTGGGCTGTAGAGCTAAGCCAATATGACCTCCTGTACCGACTAAAAGCTGCAATAAAAGCTCAGGCTTTAGCAAACTTCATTGCAGAATTCACCCCATTAGCCGAAGAAGAGAAGCTGGTCAACAAAAAGAAGGAAAGTTCGAAAGCAGACGTAACCTCTGCCGAACCTAGCCAACCCAGAGACATGTGGTAGTTGCACGTAAACGGAGCGTTGAACCAAAAGGAAGCTGGAGCACGTGTCGTCATCATCACTCTATATGGAACCTTGTTAGAGCAAGCTATCACGCTTGGCTTTCCGACCTCAAACAAAAAGGCAGAATACGAGGCATTATTCGCCGGCCTGCGCTTGGCAAAGGAACTCGCAATCCAGAAGCTAGCCATCTACTCAGATTCCCAGTTGATCATGAATCAAGCGTCAGGTGAATACATGGCAAAGCACCTAAGGATGATATTCTACCTTGAAAAAGTTCAAGAGTTGTTGAAAGCGTTTCCTACTTTCACCATCCAACAAATGTCCCGGGCAAAGAACGCGCATGCAGACGCATTAGCAAGCCTAGGGTCAGCGCTGGACAACTAGTTCAGACGCTCCATCCTGGTCGAACACCTTGACTAGTCAAGCATTGAAGAAATAGAGCCGATCGACACGATGCAGATCGACGAGGACCCCATTTGGCAAGACCCTATCATCGACTACTTGATGAATGGAAACCTGTCATCGGACAAGTCCGAAGCTAGAAAGGTCCAGCAGAAGGCCGCGAGATACTACATGCATGGCGACAAGCTCATCCGCAGATCATACTCCGGCCCTCATCTTACCTGCATAAAATACCCTCAAACACTTGAGGTTCTTTGCAAAATTCATGACGGCGAGTGTGACAACCACTCTGGGGGCAGGTCACTCGCCCAGAAGGCTTTAAACATAGGCTACTTCTGGCCTACCATGTGACATGATTTCACCGAATATGTCAAGAAATGTGATCGCTACCAACGATACAAGCCGATCCATAACCTGCCTGCCGAAGTTTACCATCCGCAAAACAATCCATGACCATTCATGCAATAGGCCATCGACCTAGTGGGTCCCTTGCCACCTGCCCCACCAACTACTTTACTAAATGGATCGAGGTCGAAGCTCTATCCTATACAAAAGAAGCCGATGTAGAGCGAGTCATCTAAAGAAACATCATCTGCCGGTTTGGCTGCCCACAGTCGCTGGTTACCGATAATGGCTCACAGTTCATTGGCAAGTAGATCACCGCAAAACAGTTGCCTATAAGCAACGTCCTTCGGGAGACACAGGGCAATGACCATAAGCGTCCTTCGGGAAATGCAGCCCATAAGAAGTGTCCTAAGAGAGATGCAGGGTGGGACAGGAATTTCCTAAGGGAGGTATCCAGGTTCCTCTCTGTTTCCTAAGGGAGGTAGGATAGTCATACAGTTGCCCATTAGCAGCGTCCTTTGGGAGATGTAGGGAGACGACCAGAGCGTCCTTCGAGAGACGCAACCCTTAAAAAGCGTCCTAAGGGAGACGCAGGGTGCGCTAGGAATTTCTTAAAATAAGGTCTCCATGCCTCATGCGGAGAAGTATTCAGGTTCCTATCTGTTTCCTAAGGGAGGCAGGATAGTCACACAATTGCCCATAAGGAGCGTCCTAAGGGAGACGCAAGGCGACGACCAGAAGCGTCCTTCAGGAGATACAGCCCATAAAAAGCATCCTAAGGGAGACGCAGGGTGTGCTAGTAATTTCTTAAAAGGAGGTCTTCATGCCTTCTGCGAGAAGTATCCAGGTTCCTATCCGTTTTCTAAGAGAGGCAGGATAGTCACATAATTGCCCATAATCAGCGTCTTTCGGGAGACGCAGGGCGACGACCAAGGCATCCTAAGGGATGAGCAGAACACGCTCGGAGTCCTTTAAGGGGGACCTTGGCACTCGCCAACTTTCTAAGGAGAATCATCCTAAGGGATATGCATAGCACGCCCGGAGTCCTTCAAGGGGGACCCTGGCACTCATAAATCTCCGAAGAAGATGTACAATCAAAACACAGGCTGGTTACTTAAATAGTTCACAAGTCGATATGCAAATTGAAAGTTGAAAGTAATAACTAAAATTTCCATAATAAGATGACCAACCGGCCAAGTTCAACAAAAAAAAAAGGTCAAATGAGACCAATTATTTTAAACAAGAAAGCAAACTACAAAAGCTGAAAATAAATAAATGAGTCTTTATTTACTCCGAGACGCCAGCAGGAGATCCCTAATATACAACCTCTTCGGCGTCCGCCTGATCAGCCCATCTCTCAGCAGCTTCACCTGCCTGATTCGTGACGTCCACCACTACCTCATCTGTTGCATCCTCCTCTGCTTCATCCTCTTTAGCTATAGCCTCTTCGACCGCCTGCTCAGCTCATTCCATATTCACAGCAAGAACCAATCATTTTTAAAGTAGATGAAATGTAGCTTTCCTTTGTTTTTCCAAGAAAAGACTTGAGACTATCTCAGGATAAACTAGCTTGAAACAAGCAGGCGGGCTCAGACGGGCTTGACAGGAGGTTCGTCTTCAGCAGATCAGACACACCTGCATCCCCTGTAGGGCTGGATTTGTCCATCTTGGGATCAACCGCTGATGTTGTAGAAGAGACATTCACCCAGGGAGATGACTCTCTCGTCTTCTTAGCTGCCACAATCCTCAACCTCCAATGAAGTCAATGATGCTGAATCACCTCCACGCTTGACTGCTCGTGACTCAGCAGCTAGATCATGAGCAGACTTCCCGCTTCAATCTTCATCACTTGACTGATGCAGACAACTCGAACTTCAAAGAGGAATATTTGCATCTCTTTGACACTCGGCAGAACGAGATAGGGCATGAGCTGTTCCAGGAAGCGGATCATTGTTTTCAAGCTTGTCAGCATGAGGCTCGGGTAGAGCACCTCTAACATCGCGCATACCACCAACCTTCCTACTATCTACACAAATAAGATGTTTAACCATAACAGATGATGATGAAACAGCTCTTACTTAAGTCTTCTCAGCAGAAGGGATCTTTGGCTTCTTCCTCAACGGGGACGCATATTTCGCCAGTGAATTCCCAGCTTCATTTCTTGAAGACTTGACATCAGCCTTCCTTTTTGAAGGGGAGTCCGGTAGAACACTCCTCTTGCCTAGCCAGTAGATCATCCAAGTCTGGACCATTATGCTTCCATCTCTCAATATCCTGGGCAGGGGGCAGACCACTAACTTCCTCCGGATACCCACTTAGTTGATGAGGCCTGCAAAGCACGAGGCGCAACATGCTCCAGCCCGGACCTGCGATGGCACCAGCTGGTCCATCTGCGCGTACCTGCCTCACCACAGCTGCGGCCCACTACCAACCGTCGCATGTCATGACGACAACTAGTTGGACTTCCCCCAGCTGACCTTTGTCGCAAAAAAGAAGAAAAGATGAAGAAAAAGAAATATGTGTGCTCGATTTACCTTGGGATGCACGGCGACTCCTCTCTTCGACAAACAGTACAAATTCTCCAAGATCTCTTTCAAGCTAGAAAGTAGAGAAGTTAAGTTTGCGATGTGA